TGTGTGTGTGTGTGTGTGTGTGTGTGTGTGTGTGTGTGTGTGTGTGTTTTATAGATGCTCTCAAAGTCTTTTAACAGAAGAAGAAGAAGTGTATTTTCTGAAAAGTAACAGCGTCTAGACACACAGCTGGCCGTCTGGTGCACAGCATTGGACGAATCTGTTCCGGTAACGAATCCGGTGTTCCAGCTTTGTTCCTAATTTAGCCCTTTGCACAGGTCTGCTCAGCAACAGTAGGTGTCGCGTGCTTGTGTGCATTCATGTCCGGATAAAGCCACCACAATGACCTCTGCAGTGGCCTCCTGTGCGGCGGAGACTTGTAAAGGGCACCGTATTGCAGGTACACTCCACGCTGAATGAGCCCGGGAGTCCGGTTCGGACGAGCCGATGATGGATCCGAGGACGTCTGCTGTGAGCACATCAATCCTGCTCGTTCCAACACCGGCTCCCCGCTGACTCACCTTCACCTTTTAGTCCGGATCAGAACGCTGACAAACGCATGCATGTAATCATTTCGTGGATTTTAAAGCGACATCACATTCGTATGGGCTTTTTGTTTTTCGTGTCTTTTGGTACAAATGTTTGTTTTACCAATTTTTTGGTCACAAAAGATGTGATTTTAGCGCTTAATTATTTTATTTCTTTTCAGGGCCTATAATCCCCACTAAAGTGCTTTAAAGCTATGGGGGGAGCTTTAAAATGCACACACAGGCTCATTGATTTGATTTCTTCATTGGCCGCTTAACATATACTTTTTATATGCTTTATATTAAACGATGTCACTGAGCCATACTTTTGCACCATAACAAATGTTTTTGTTTTTTTTTTATCTCTGAAGGGATTTGTGCAAGACTCTATAGGTTTTAAGATTAGCCATGAAATGTTTTTAAAGGGAGCAACTGTGAAAGATGTCATGCCACAGTTGCATGCATGGTGCCTTTTGAGATGGCCTTTTCCTGTTGACTCTTTGTGTGTTTGTCTCTCTTCAGCACACTGTGTGTCCGGGAGCGCACTGCAGCATTTCAGACCGGTAATCGAGGTGAACTGCATTACGAGCTCTCTGTAATGACTCGACGCTATCGCCGCCAGAAGAGCTTCTCTCTCTCTCTCGCTCTCGCTCATGAAAGAAAGGGGTTTGAAAATATTTTAATGATTAATCTCTGTTTTAAATAAAACATGATAGAAGTGGGACTGTGAACTCCCAGTCTTTCCCACTGCCTTGCGCGGTGGGTTTGGACAATCAAAGTGGCAGAAAAGAAGGCGAAAGAGCACTCAGAGCAGAGCTGTCCCAGCAGCCTGCAGTACTTACCCTTTAGAGGATGATATCGGCTCAACTGGGGGGTCAACTAGCTGATAGGAATGCTACAGGGCCCCTCCATTTTCGCCTTGCTCTTGTTAAAAGCTCGAGACGGTTGCAAAAGTATGAGGCAGGCAAGTGATACATGGAAAACAGCGATGTTTCATACTCTCTGGGACGCACAGACAGACAGCAAGCCGCCTCTGATGAATTTTCAGATGTTTGATTTAAACCTACAAGGGGGATACGTTTAAAATGCACATGCACTGTCTCTGCTGTTTAGATAACAAAATGGCCTCAGACATCAATGAGCCTTACAAGTATTTACATATAGCTTCAGCAAAAGTTCGCATTAGGCTCACTAATAAGTGGGACATGCCTCCCTGGTACTGTTGACGCCTCATGGAAAACAGTTCATCAAAACAAACCTAGTTCATTTTGTATACATTGGTGTAATTTTATAAAATATTCATGAATTGATAAGGGATGCAAATGTAAAAAAAAGATATTGTCCTAAAAACAAAAGGGAACCAATGAGAGAGACAGAAAAAGCAAAGTGATTAGTGAGAGAATTGAAAGGATGCCCGGGTACGACAGGCTGATGCCTAAATGAAATAGTAAATCCATTTGTTGCAAGGTGTAAAAATGATGGGGGCCCCAGTCCAGATCATATTTGCAATTTTTAGGACAATATGTATGTAGTGAATGGACAAGGCACCAGTCTGCCCATCAGAAGCCACTTGGGCTTCAGTGTGTAGCTCACATATGGAGCCGGTAATACAACCACCCACCTCCATGCTGCACTTGGAAGCCACTCCATGCGCTTGAATTTGAGGTCACACATATCTTATTCTTGAGCATTTTATTTGATTATACTAACTAATAGCACACATTTAGAAAGCACAGCATTTAGAAAGCATCGCCGGAGAGTGGGAGGGTTTAGAGTTTGAATTGGGCCAATGATTAGACGAGGCATGCCACGCTGCAGGGCCACCACGTGTAACCAGGCCTTACCATGCCAACTTTGTCAGCCATGTGAGAACAAAAATAAAAGAAACTCTACATTGATATACACACACACAGTAAACTGTATTTGACATGTTGCAGTTGAGCTGTAAAAGGTGAGAATACATGTTTTTCTGCTGTGTCAAGCCTCTGAAGTATGTTAGCTAATGCTACCTAAGCTAAGTGTTCACTAATTTTGGCTAACCTTAACTGTTTTAAGCTAGTATGTGAGATACTTTTATATGTTATACATAAATACATTAGAAACATGCAGAAAAAATAGTGTAATGTACAAGCTGTTTCAGGATTCAGTGTTTGAAATGCAGTCAAAATAACAAGTAAACGAAACAAACAAAACATTTATTTTTAAGCATTCAAAAACTAAGCAGTGACTTATTAATTTAAGCACCTCATGTAATTGAAAAACAAAGTAATATGTTAGTATTACTGTAACTTACAGTATGTGTGCCCATCACACAGCAGACATTGGCCTGCCATTGCAGGGAAAGCACAATTGTAATTGATAACATGGTGGCTGCATTCCATTTAGGTGAGCCTTGGTATTTGTGCATGCTGGCTCACTGGGACACTAAATGGGACTGAGCCATCGTTATCATAAATTAGTTTCACCTGTGGCCTTCCTGTCACCACATCTAGTTTTTTTTGCACCACTACAGGTAAATAGACGACACATTTTCACTCCATATTTGATGCAAATACTTTTATTAAACGTACGGCTAATGGTATATGATTTGTATTGAACAATGTGAACGTTGTTCTCACAGTTACCGGCTACCCTTTGTACCGTGTTGCTTGCTAATTAGGTGGGAAATGACTCCCATTGATATAATGATGCAATATCAATGATATGCAGTCAACTCACCTTTTCAAAGCTTTCCATGAGGCATTTACACCTTTTTAATCAAGGTTTTCCATGTGCCACAATATGAACTATTTGGACTGTGTGGTTTTGTATGGCGCTTTAAACCCGTGATTGTCAAGTGGGATCAACCACAGGCCTTCGGAAAAACCGGTTTGAAGGCTAAATATCACACGCTAGCTTTTCTCTGTCGTTATTGTCTTTTTCAGCAGCAGATAGTTAATCAGCCTGAAGCAGACTGTCAGCAGCAACCCATATTAATGTTATTGATCATTGTCAACTTTCATGCTTTCCTCCCAAACCTCGGATCACACTGTCGCTGTGTGAGACTTTTTGGGTTTCTTTCTCCCGGTAAAGGTTTCTTTTTTCATTAGTCCCTTTCTCTGTTCTGCGCCCCAATAACCTGTCTCCCTTATTGCACACGGTGCTTAGAAAGTGACAACTTGGGGAACTGAATCAAAGTTTCAATAAAAGCTGGACTGCTGTGGGCTTTGACAAGTGAGCTGGCTGGAGTGGAACGGTACAGAAAGAGACTGAAGGAGGACATATCGGCCCCGGAAAGATAAATAGTTCATGAAGCTGTTGACTTCACCATTTTATTACTTTTGTCTCTGAATTTTCCGGCTGCCTGCAGCTCTTTTCTGCCCACAAATTATTCATCTTCCTCCCCACAGGCCCCAGCTGTCAATCCCAGGATTAGGAGTTGGTAGGGAAGATGGGAGTTGTACGTTTTGTCGTGAGCTCTCAGGTGCATGCATACTTGCCAGGATCTTGATAAAACTATACAAGTTATTGTGACACCATATAATCACCTCGGCTTTACTTAGAAAAAGACAAAGCTGGCAGGGAAGGCTCTGGAGGTTGACGGGTAGACTTTCTCGAATGTGTTAGTCTTTTGTCATTTTGTCTCTGCTCTGTTTTGAAGCTGACTGTGTTGGAGGAGATGCTCTACAGCCTTCCTGGTGGTCCAAAGTCTCATGTTGACTACATGAAGTCCAACCTGAAGGTAAATAATGACTCTACACACACCATGCATGCAAACATTTTGTAGATGGGATTTATTTGTGCACAGACATTGCTCTCTCACTTTCCAGAATATTGCTTCTTTTTGATATGGCATCCAGCAAGTCTTTAAAATGTCAAAGGGTCACGTAATTATCCTGTACCGCTCTCCTCCACTACGCCTAATTTTATAATTATGCGATTACCTCTGGGAGGAAGACATTGTGTGATTCTGATTTTCATATTTTCATTCATACAATAGTCTCATCACAGTCCCATCAAGCCTCAAGTCCAGACGACTATCAAAAGTAATGACAGTGTTTGAAATAACAAGAAAGGAAATGGAGAATAGCAAGCCTAGATTATTCTGACATAGCGTACCAGACGTAATTCTGAAAATTGGTGTCCATAAAAATGTTTTGTGTGCATATAGTGCTATATGTCTGTGGATCCATGCTGACATGCTGTTAAAGGGATAGTTTGGAGGTTGTATGAGCTGCTTAGTTTGGAGAAACGGTGCACCAGTTATTGATAAGTACCTCATGCAACCCCAGAAACACCCACACGATCTCTTCAACCCACAGAGAAGCTGAATGCTTTGAGAAGGCTTTGCTGAAGGAAGGAACATGCCAGTAACCTGGTAAAGCGTTCAAACTGATTAATGGAAACCTTGTCAGCAATGAAGAATTGATGGCTTTAGTCTCCCAATCCAACGACAGCGGGACCCTGCAG